AAGAAAGTAGTGTGTAGAGGACAGTAGCGTATGGAAGAAAGTAGTGTGTAGAGGACAGTAGTGTATGGAAGAAAGTAGTGTTTAGAGGACAGTAGCGTATGGAAGAAAGTACTGTGTAGAGGACAGTAGCGTATGGAAGAAAGTACTGTGTAGAGGACAGTAGTGTGTGTCTTCGTCACCACCGTAGTTTGTTGCGGGAGTAGCAGGTGCTTCCATTTCTGCTTCCGTCATGAAATCAGTCATCGTAGAGTGGAATTCTACATGTAGTCGCTCGCTAGCTATAGCATATAGCATCCTGGGCATCACTGGGAATCAAAACACCGCGGCTTTGAGAGCACTTGTTTGCAATTGCGCATTAACGTGATTAACTAATGATTTAACTTGCAAGCTAGGACCACTGATTCGCCAAACCTGCTTGCTCCCGAGGACGGATATGTTTGAAAACGCTGGGGCTGCGTATTCTGGTGGACGGTCAAAAACGGATAAGTTTGGAAACGATAACGCCCACATCTGCGTTTGCTACTTGATTGGTTCTTAGTAGTCATGACGTGTACTTCCCTGAGTTTGTTAAGTCTGTTGGTGTCTCCGGCTCCAATGCTGCTCCCCCAGCAGACTACGGCGAAGTAAAGTGCACTGGCCACAACAGACCGATAGAACATCTTGAACATCTTGCTGCACACGTTGAAGGATCGAAGTTTCCTCAAGAAAAAGAGTTGACTCATCCCCTTCTTGTACACAGCGTTGATGTTGGTCTTCCAGTTCAGTCTGCTGTCGATGGACACACCCAGGTACTTGTACTCCTCTACCATGTCCACATCCTCTCCCTGAACTCTCAGCGGTTGTGGAGCCGTCGTCTTCCTCCTGAAGTCGACCACCATCTCTCTGGTCTTGGCCACTTTCAGAAGCAGGTTATTCCTACCGGCCCACTCCACAAAGTCATCCACTACTGCCCTGTACTCCTCCCGTCCGTCCCTTATACACCCGACCACTGCAGAGTCATCAGAGAACTTCTGCAGATGGCATGACCCTGACTTGTACTGGAAGTCAGGGGTGTACAAGGAAGGGAGACAGAACAGTTCCCTGTGGCGCTCCAGTATCACTGACCACCCCATCAGACAGCACACTGCCCAGTCGGACAAACTGTGGTCTGCCCGTGAGGTAGTAAGTCATCCAGGAGACAGTGGACGTGTTAACCCCCACCACCCGCAGCTTCTCACTCAGCAGCAACTGGTTGGATGGTGTTAAATGCACTGGAGAAATCAACGAAAGTGATTCTCACAGAGCCACCGGATCCATCCAGGTGCGACTGAGCTCGTTGCAGCAGGTAGATGATGGCATCGTCCACCCCCACATGAGGCTGGTATGCAAATTGCAGAGGGTCCAGTGAGGATTTCACCTGCGGTCGAAGGTGGGCCAAGACCAGCCTCTCCAGCACCTTCATCACATGAGATGTGAGGGCAACTGGTCGGTAGTCATTGAGGCTAGATGGTGTCGTCTTTTTTGGTACAGGAACCAGGCACGACGTCTTCCACAGCACCGGGACTTCCTCCTGCTTCAGGTTCAGGTTGTAGAGGTGTTGCAGGACAACAGACAGCTGGCTGGCGCAGGTCTTCAGGACCCTGGGGCTGATGCCATCGGGTCCAGCAGCCTTGCCTCGGTGGAGTCTCTCCAGCTGTCTCCTAACCTGGCCAGTCGTCACAGAGAGGGGGGGAGGGGGTCATAGTGTCGGTGGTGGCAGAGCCCTTTGAAGTGGAGGGCTCTGAGTCCATGCAGCTCACCAGGGGGACAGAGGGGGAGGTGGTGGTGTTTGGGAGGTGTGGTGTGTGGAGGAGACAGATGAGGGCTCTGAGGTAAACCTATTGAAGAAAGAGTTTAGCTCGTTTGCCCTCTCCAGGGAGCCCCCTGGTTGTCTGCCTACAACCTTGAAGCCGGTAATCTGCTTCATCCCCGTCCACACCTCCTTCTCGTTGTTCTGCTGGAGTTTGGCCTCCAGCTTCCTCCTGTAGGAGTCCTTGCACTCTCTGATCTTCACCTTCAGGTCGTGCTGGACTCTCCTGAGCTCTTCCCTGTCCCCAGACTTGAAAGCTGCTTTCTTCTTGGTTGAAGAGCTTTCAGGTCATTGGTGATCCAAGGTTTATTGTTGGGGTAGCAGTGTACAGTCCGGGATGGAATAGTAGTTTGTTCACAGAATTTGATGTATTCTGTGATACAGTCCGTCATGCTGTTGATGTCCTCCCCATGTGGTCCACACAGCACATCCCAATCTGTAGACTCAAAGCAGTCCTGCAGAGCGCCATTAGCCTCCTGAGACCACCTCCTCACAGTCCTGGTGGTCACAGGCAGCCTCTGCACCAGAGGAACATACTTTGGTGTTAACAGGATCAGGTTGTGATCAGAACTGCCAAGCGGGGGTAGGTCAGCAGCACTGTATGCATCCTTTGCATTTGCATACAGTAGGTCCAGAGTTTTATTGTTCCTTGTGGGGCAGTCAACATACTGGTATAAGGTCGGCAGGGCTTTATCCAGAGTGGTGTGATTCAAGTCTCCATTAATAGCCAAAAACGCACCAGCATCTTGACTCAGCAGTCCAGATACAGTGCAGTGGATTGTGTCCACTGCTGGCGGGACGTACACAGCCACAACAATGGCGGACGTGAACTCCCTCGGCAAATAATAAGGACGCATCCCCACGGCTAACAGTTCAATGTCCGGGCTACAGAAGCGTTCCTTCACACACACATGGTCGGGATTGCACCACCTCTCGTTCACATACACAGCAATCCCGCCACCTCTCTTCTTACCGCTCGGTACAACGTCTCTGTCCGCCCGCACAGTCCTGAAGCCGGGAAGCGACGCACTGTGATCTGGAAAATCCGTGTGCAGCCATGTCTCCGTGAAACACATGATGCTGCACACACGGAAGTCCCTCTCGGTCTTAACCAGCGCACCGAGTTCGTCCGTCTTATTCGCCAAAGACCTCATGTTCCCCGTTATGATCGCCGGTACTGAAGGTTTATATTTCCTCCTCTTCGCCCTCCGCTTAGCGCCCGACCTGCAGCCCCGAGCCATTCTCCGTAGCTCTGCCGGGATCTCAGGCCTGGCGCCGGGCAGCAGCCGCAGTTTCCTCAGCGCAATCAGCTGATCGCGGGAATAGACAATGGCCCCACTCATTGTGTGTGGCTCTCCGTTACAAACAGGAAGAAAAGTAACAGAAAGCCATGAGAAAAGTTGACAAAAATGTTAGTCTGTTGTCTGACCGTAAAAACCAAACGTTAAGGAAAATAAAAATTTTAAAGTAGAGGGGAAAGAGTGAAAAAAGACTAAAATTAAAACACAGAGGGAGCTGCTGCAACAGGCTGCCGCTGGCACGGCGCCATCTTGTTTTAGTCTGGACGGAGATCATTTCGAAAACGATGCTGAAACGCCGTGTGGACGGAGATCATTTTCATAGCTAGCACCAGCCCCCCATCAAGCTGCTGAAAATTCTACTGACTTTACCGATACACTTTATACTCTATTCGCACTATCAAAACAAATGTTTACACTGCACTGTTTGCACAAATTTTCTTTTATTATTACTTAGTAACGTTTTTATTCCTTTTGTGTATTTTATCTTTACTAACGTTTTTTTTTTATTCCTTTTGTGTATTTTTGTCTTGTATATTTTCTATCGTTGTTGTTGTTCGCTGCTGCTGGCTGGCTGAGGGCTACCAAATGAAATTTTGTTGTATCACTACAATGACAATAAAAAGCTCTTTATCTTATATTTAAAAGTTGCCTGCAAACTAGTTCATGTTCCAGCAGGAAGTGGCAGCAAGCTTACTAATAAGATCAGAGGATACATTCTGTACACATTTCTCAAATTCACGATTTTATTTAATGGATATGAACAACATTTTACAAGAATGTGTGATCAGCTTTATTGCATGACTAATTCAAATTCACACTTCTTCTGACCTGTGCTGAGTAATTGATACACAAGAGTAAGAAAATGCAAACCTGTAGTATTACAGTGCAGAAATCTTCACTGACAGTATATATTGCACTGCTCAAAACAATTAAGGGAACACTTATTCATCCCAGTATAACATCAAGTCAATTAAACTTCTGGGATATTGAACTGTCCATTTAGTAAGCGCATGCGATTGTGAATCAACTTCTCCTGCTTTGGTGAAAATGAAAGCGGCAACAGGTGGAACGAAAGAGGTAACAGTAAGACAACCCTAAAAAGGGAATGGTTTTGCAGGTGGTGGCCACAGACCATTTCTTTCTCTTGCTAATTCCGAGCTGATTTTTCTCTAGTTTAGTATTTTTCTTGTGCCCTTGTCACTACTGGTAGCATGAGGTGGTACCTGCAGTCCATTCAGGTTTCACAGGCAATCCAGCTCCAGGATGGCACATCCATATGCGCCTCCGCAAAAAGATTTGCTGTGTCTCCCAGCACAGTGTTAATAGCGTGGAGGAGATACCAGGAGACAGGTCATTACATGAGTAGAGCTCAACAGGGGTTCCTCCTGGTGCAGTGGGCCTTCGGTTCCTCCTGGTGCAGGACCAAGCCAGGCCTCATGTGGCCAGAGTGTGTTGGCAGTCCCTGGATGAAGAAGGCATTGATGCCATTGACCTTAATACAATTGAAAACCTCTGGGATGTTATGTATCGGTGCATCTGACGCAGCCAAGTTGTGCAACAGAGAGTCTCACTGATGCCCTGATCCATGTCTGGGAGGAGATCCCCCAGGACACCATCCGCCATCTCAAATAAAACCAAATAATTTGGTTATAAAACCAAAAACCCCAAAATAAACAAACAAAACAATTTCACAGTCAATTTCCCAAATTATCAGTATCTCACCGGATGTGTTTAGAAGTCCATCTGGACTCAATCAGATCCTTCAGGATCCCAGTGAAGGTGTTCAGGAGCTGCTCGTGAAGTCCTGCTATGGCATCACAAGTGGTCTCAACTAAAC